GTAATTGGCAACTCGCATTCCCGACTTCCTGATCGATCAGGCCGCAGGATGATAACCACATTCTCAGGTTCCAGGAAACATAAATACAATTCTTCTACACAGCCCAACGATTGCGTATGCGTAGTACTGAGCACGTCTGTCCGAACAGATATAAAGGTGACTTGAGGTCGACAATTATAAGGAGTTTGTTAACTGATACATTGTAAGCAAGTTTGTACGTATGGTACCCTCGAGCTCTTTGGCTACTGGAATGTTCTCCGATCATACTGTGCCTCGACTTCTCATATAACTACTAAGAGTTGGAACTAGTGCATGATATGTCCGAACGACGATGACGGGCCTCCGAGGATGTCCAGGCGATGCCTATCGATGCCAGAAAGATACTCGTACCAGGTCCAGGATGCACATTGCAGGTCCAACTGGATCTTTCCGCGAGCCAAGTACTAGGATCCGGAACACCGTGACATCCGACTCAGTTCTTCCTTTTCTAGTGCCACGTAACGTTCCTCCATGATTTTGGGTACATAACTCTGAAATCTTGAGATCAGAGTGAACAATAATATTTTCATAGATTCAAAGACATCATCACGTGAGGGTACTGGTGCAGGCAAGCAGCAGAGTGCATGCATTCGTACCCTCGTTGCCAAAAAGCAATTTCACACCCGCGAGCGACGAGATTGTCTTGTAAGCTGTAAATCGAACATGTGGTGCCGAGGCAAGAAATAGATTGCACGAGTGCGCTCTGTTTGAGTTTCGAAAAAGTGCTTGACTCATTCTGAAGATTTGAAGTGGAGTCATTCTACCACCGATGACAGAGCTGAAAGTTTAGACTGCCATCATACATTGGTTCTCGGCGCTCGGCTGGGTAAACCTTGTTGTACCACATGCATTGTAACAGATTTATTCTGTACTACGTACCCCTCTGGTACTAGTTGTGCGAAGTTTTGTTCGCCGGCAATTGCCAGAGCGGCAACACCACGTGATTTTAACTTTTCTCTCATCGCGCGCGCCCAAACGAAGTCTCAGATTGCATGTTCTGATCACAAGTTTCCGTTCCCTGTTGTCACGGTGTTGGAGGCGTCTATTATGTTCCCACTAATGCACCATCATCGTGATAGGGCCCTGAGGTGATGCTCTTCAATGTGTTTGGTTGCTAGTCGACCCATCTGCCCTCAACCACCCATCTTATGGAATGGCCTCTGCGGTGGGTTGACAGCAAGGTGGTATCAATACATCTCACCAACACAACTCGTGGTTCGTCGTGCCTTGGGCTGCAGTCATCTTACGTTACCTTACTAACTTTGGATATCGACCCCATGCATCATGGTGGCTAGTCCCGCTCTATCATCCAAATGAAGTTAACTTACACATTTAGCGCTATGTGTTCGCGGCAGCAGTCGCGCGCTTGTATTTCGCACTTCTCGGGACATATTTGGGAAAGATATGATCGTTGCGACAAGATCACCGCGGTGATCGTTTGCGGATTAGAGTGAGCTACGAACTTACCTCATGTCATTTTTACCAGTTCTTTGGTAAGGACGTGCACACAAATTCTTACTATTCATTCCACAGTATTTCCGTGTGCCTCAAACTGATATGGGCAAGATCAACTGCCACTTGGATTACCGATATAGTACGAACTATTTTTGCTGCATCTGCATGTTGTGACTGATGCCTTGTCATGGAGCATCCAAGATATCGAACAGTTTTACTTCTCTCATTCGCCCTCTCGTTGGATTTACGCCAAGGGTGTATGGGTCTAATAAATACAAGCTACAAGGTAGGTGATTCTGTAAAAGTAATAGATCATGGATACTACAAGTACTCAAAACATTCAGGGATTCCTCAAATTCCGACGTACAACCTAATTTACTACCCTTTCTAAGTAGTATGGGACTCGATCTACGTTCGAGTGAATGAGCGACATGTCATTCCACTGCCCGGGGAACGAATTGTGTCGAAATTGCGAAGGGGTTGGTTGGACCAAATTCCAGTTGCCCTCACCACCGACAATATGGTGGATCTCCGTCTGAGGGTGGCCTTCATACTCTAGAATCGAGCTCATCACCGATGTGTCTGACATTGGGCTACTGTTTCTTGCCCTTGATGCAATGGCGTTTGTCCACGTCTCGTTGTTGGGAATTACAAGAGGTTCTAGGGATTTCTGAGATCCTGTCATCGACGAGCTGAAAACGCGTACCATAAGCCGTACGAGACCCCTGGTCAGTTTCATAGGCTGATGTTGACGAGTATTTCAAGGGCGGGAGCGGCTCATGCCTAGAAATTTCCCCATGTTCTCTCGATAAATCCCGCAGGAGTTCTGCAGCTGCGAAAGGAATAAGTGATCATGCAAGCAGAACGTGTACAAAGCAAGTATACCTTTCTTCAAGGTTTCGCACCTGGTCTGGGGAGTCTCCCCTGTCACTAAGCGAATCACGTCTTTGAGTTCTTGGAACCCGTCGCCCTCTTTGACCCGATACTGCCTCTGCGATGCAATTTTGTTTTGCTTCGCGGGGTGTTGGTAGCTTTGCGCACCGCAGTAGAGGTTCATAGTCGCAATCACGTGGTTGGTGAGTCTACCAGTGGGCTTAGAAGCCCACTTTTATAACATCCTCTACCCCGCCACGCAAGTTTCGTAAACTTGGTTTTTTTGGACTATCAAGCAAAGTCCGAACTTGGGTATCTCATTTCAACCTTACAGCGCGGTTCCCGATCTAGATGTCTTACTTTTTCAGGCGGCTCACCGATTTTATAACCAGTGCAAGGTTTGATTCAATTTGAATCGGACAGTGCTGATTCAATTGATGCTTAATGACAACCTGGACCATCAAGTACTTTTATGAACTACACATCAGCGCTACACGTTGTACACGTTTAAACGTGTTCGTGTTAGCACGATCCTCTCAAAACTTGCAATCCGCGTGTGTGTGTATAGCACAATTCATCCAACTCGGAGTCGGTAACACACCGAAATATGACGTCATAGGTGAGAAGCATTAATTCCAGCATAGTCACTCCTGCATTTTACTACAGCAAAAATGCATTAATGGAGTCGCCGACTCGGAAGTTACTTGGTAGAAATATCAACTGACACGTATATTGTTGATGGGAGGATCATCATGAAAAAGGGCAGTTGTGGTGACAAATGTGTCGCGTCCGAAGTTATGCAGTTGGTTGATTGGTCACCAGTTATGCACATTGGACGATCAAGTATGCACGAACGTTACTTAGATGAAGCTTCGGAGCCCTAAGACCTGATATAGATAGGTTAGCCCGGATAATTCTCAGAGTCCGCAGTACCGCTCACATTCGAACCCCGAATGTTAAGTCTTGTTTCGTCGATCGTTTGGTTATCCACATTCATTTTTGAGATACACACTTCGGGACTTTGCTTGCTCCAAACTGTTCTGAGTAAGTCGAACTTAGGCAGGCACATATGGACTTTCAAAACTCCGTGATGCTATGCCCATATTAATTAGCACGTAAGTGTCTTTGATAATTGATCCAAAGCACATGGACTTACAACCACAAACAAAACAAATCTCGAAAGCAATGTCCGATTTATTCCTGGAATAGGCAGCAGTGATCGAGCAGTCTGGTTAGAGAAGGGTCAACAATGATACGATGGCCGCCGATGGTAAATGTGATTTTGACTGAGACCTTTGGAACATTGTGATTGGTTTTGTCTCGGGAAGTTCAAGTGTGCTCTTGTAGTCAAAATTCAGTGATAGTGAGTAAGGTCAAATGTCTACTTAGCTCACGTCACAATTGGCCGATGGCGTCGCTGCCAAATTATGACGAGCAAAGCTGTGCCGTGACTAGCAAAGCTGCGCCATGACTAGCACTCACAAGTAAAGGTACTCTCGGCTCTAACAGTCAAAAAATATTAGATGCTCACCACAACGATGCAAAAAAATTGAAGGACATCAGGCAGCTCCATCACTGTGCAGTTATTTTTTGATCCTTGGGGGTCTACTTGTCCTCACTTGTCTCGTTGGGACGCAGATAACGAGGATATAGCCAACAGATAAGGGACCCCACCACGAGCACGGAAGGACCTCATGGAATTTAGGAGACAAAACAACAAGGACGTAGTTACCAACAGGGGAAGTAAATAACAACAGTGTACCTAGCGAGACGAGAAACTCGAGTGAGAAAAGGCATAGAACCATTTCGAATCCGTCTCGCTAGACATAGACTGCTATCTCCACTAAACGAGGTCAGACTTAAGCCCAAGTCGTTCATTAATTTATCAAGTTAGAGTCATCTCCATCAAATTTAATTCAGCATATTGCAATTCGAGCATTGATATGGGCTCCAGGTCAAGGAACGCAGCGCGAGCATCTGCCTGAGGACACTGTATCATGATTTTGGGACGACCAAACGATTCAACCTAATTTCAAAATTTATGTATATATCCCGCTTACTAAGCCAGCATTTCGGCGCTTTTCCTCACGGGCGTATGGATTGATCCTTATCGAACGAGCATGTCTGGCTTGGATGCAATCATTAATCGCAAGCCTCCTAGTCTATGGGAGCTGTTCAAGACGAATCCCAGCCTTTATATAGCCTCAAAGCTATATAATACTCTCAGCCAACAACTGCTACGTCCTTTGTCTTCTCCCGTCCGCACCATATGCATATCAGACACTCACAACGCCGACATATCTGCCCTGATACCACCCGGTGATATCCTCATTCACGCAGGTGATCTCACGCATTCTGGCACTCCAAGTGAGCTCCAGGTCACCTTTGACTGGCTAGTCTCCCTTCCACACGAACACAAAATCGTTATAGCCGGTAATCACGACACATACCTTCAGACAGTCGAGGGTCGTTCATGGGTCCACACATGGCGAGAGCGTGGCATCATCTATCTGGAGGATGAGGCTCACACTATCCAAGTGCGTGGTCGCACATTCAAAATCTTTGGCAGCCCATTCACTCCGCAGCACGGCAATGGCGCTTTCCAATACCCACGTACGGGTGTCACTGGCACATCCAGCCGTTGGTCTGTCATTCCAAACGACACAGACATTCTCATCACTCATGGTCCTCCTCACGGTCATCTCGATCTCTCTGGACTTGGTTGCAGAGCCCTGCTTGCACGTATATGGGAGCTCTGTAGGACACACCCGCCAGTGCTTCATGTGTTCGGACACATTCATGGCGGTCGTGGAATCGAGAATATGCCCTGGAACTCTGCTCAGTCAATATGGGAGGACATTGTGCTCAAGAAAGGGGGTTGGTTCCGCACTATGCATTTGCTATGGGCGATGCTTTGGGGTGGCCGGGATAATAGTATAAGGACGGTTGCTGTTAATGCATCTGTGGTAGGAGGTCCGCGGGACCGTGATATACGGCCTCCTGTCGTCATTGATATATAAGAAATCGAAATCCACACCCACTGACTAGTAACGTGTTCATGCCGCTAGCTCCTCTACCCACTTACAAGTTTAGGTCAACACGTCGTACACATATCCTTGTACTATCATACACTTGTACTACAGGAAAGTGTGTGCTTGTCGCTAAACTGACTCATCCCTCTATATACCCTCCACACAAAGCCTTTAACTCCTTGATCTGCGCTTCCTGGATTTCTGCCCCATACGCGATCGCTTTCGCCTCAATGTCTGCGACCTTGATTTTCGCCCCCCTCCTCTTGGATTCTTGGATGAGGTATTGCGCTGCATCGGACATATCATAGGACTTTGCGTTCCCTCGCTTTCCGGCCTTCTCCAATTTGGCTACCAGACAGTACATCCAGGGCGCAGCGAGCACCTTAAGCCCAGGCTCATCAAAGATGACTACACCATCGCTAATTGCTTCATTGTAGAGGTTGGTTTTAGTGTTGGGAGCGATGAAAAGTGCAGTGTGGTTGTTCATCCACCCTTCACCAAGCTGCATGGTCTTGGCTGCGCTTTTAATACCATCTCGCAAGACGGGATTGTTTGCAGCATCAATGCTGAAGAAATCTACATCCGCTGTAGAGGCACGGGAGCCTGTACGAGATTGTCAGTTGCATCGTCATTAGGAGATCGTAGAACGAATACGCACGAAGAAGAATCGTGTTGATAGCGCCTCCAACAGCAACGACGGTGATCTGTTTTTTCTTGCTTTTCAGGTGTGTGGCCGTTAGGCCTAAGCCACGCTTGATATCTTCAGCGGTGAGCTGCTTGTCTTCGACACCTGGAGAGTACTGTTTAATCACTCGCGAGACGCATCATGGAATATATTTCTGACCTGGCCTGTTGACAAAGTCGGTGAGGCTTGCTGTATCGCTGAAACACTGACCCATCGTGATTTGACTTGGTGGAAGAATGTAAGATGTGTTTGACGCTCCAACACTTCGGAGCGCCAAAGCTTCCACCTTCGTCACATGCGTCTAGCTGCAGTTCTCGCCTCCTCCAGGCTCCACTCGTGACCCGTCATTCCACCGGTCTCTACTCTAACACCCGGAATACGAGGGTTTACCGTATGCTCGTGTTTGGTTCCTGTAACATCAGATGTACACACATTAACAAAAGGCAAGCTTTTCCCATTGCACTCATTATCTAGCCATATTCTCGACTTGGATTTTTGTCAGATCTTCTAAAGGGCATGAAAAACTGCATAACCACCGATCCATTATTTAACAACGAAAACACAAACATGAAGCGTCGATTACAGTGTACAACATCACGATTCGGGACTAAGAATGAACAAAACGAAAACTACTGTCGACATCTAGCGTGATTTGAGGCCCTTCGCATATTTCCACATGAATTCCATGAATATTGCCCCGATGTTGACAACGTATGTGACCAGCCAGAGCGTAGTAACGGTGCGGAAGACCATGTTTTGAGAGGAACACCCTGCTATCAATATCGCTGAGGGTGAAATGCATGAGGAACCGGGGAAAGCACCAAACGACGAAACAACTAACCAAACATGAAACAATTTAGGGACAAGACAACGAAGAATACAGGCGTGACTATTGACAATAGGTAGGACCAAATGAAGTAATCGCCTTCCATGAGTTGCTGATCGTTATAATTAGGTTCGGTGTAATCCGATGGTGAGAATAAAGCTTACTTCTTGAGTCCACTGCCGATCGGTGTGTAGCCAGCGTATCATACTTGAGCCAGATATCAACATCGCAATCATGGCGAGCATGAGAGACATAAAGAGTAGACAATAGGGTGCAGGTGATGAATAGTCAAAGTATGGCACAGGAGAGCCCGTACTGACGAAAACACCACTTGTAGCGAGGAGGACAGTTGCCTTTTTTGGAGTATATCAGCGTCGGCTTGAGTTCACGCGGAGTTGGACAACTTACTGTGGTGATAGTGTTGGTCAGGATAGAGCATGACCTGCTCCTAACGGTTTCGAAGGCTATATCTGATTGCAGAGACTTCCAATGATCATCAAGATCTGGGCGTCCAAGTGCCAAAAAACAGAGTACCCTCGTTAAGAGGGACATGCGACGAAGGGTTTCGGGGAGGGGTTGTTCTTCAGCAAGTGCTCCGTGGTGAGCAGTCACATATAACTGGAAAGGCCAGCTTAGTGAAGTCATGCGGCAAGAATTCATAATTTATAAAGCGCACCTCTGCAGTGGGATAGAGTGGAACCATGGTGTCCAATGAAAGATGGAAATATTAGACCAATGCTCATACTGAGAACAGCAAGATGCGACCTATTATACGAATGAATGATGCAGGTTAAGGGACAGTTTACAGGACTTGAACGGTTGATCACGATCGAAACCGCAAATGGATGGTCTGGACGTGTGCACTAAATATAGTATCAGGAAGCCCGAAGTTAGCGCCACTGCGGCAAGTCAACCGTGCACCGTGACCGTGTTTACAGTTATACTTTTCTGCTCCCTTGGAAGCTTCATGAGATCTAGTGATCATGAGACCTGAAATGCGAAAATTGAACTTTTGCAGGCCAGCAGGATGGTCACCGTGCAGTTCGGCCGCGCTCCTCAGCTCCTTCCTGATCTCGAACTTCATCTGCAACTCGAATGAATGACTTATATTAGTCTCCTTTATTCCGAACTGGACACTGTGCAGTCAGTTGTTCTCGAATGAAATATTAATACTTACTACTACGTCAGCAACACCGTACAGCAGTGACACGTCGAAATGTCAAGACGCCACAGCTGGGTGCTTCCCGGCTTCGGACTTATTATCCCACGACTCCTCGATCGGATCTTTGGCTTTACCATTTGGTGTTCATGCTTTTCCACGCCGCCAGGCGCCTCAGATCCTTGGTTTCACCAGGTACGCCCCTTCCCTGCTTCTTTGTATAAGCTGTTGTTTTACCAGGTACGCCCCTTCCCTGCTTCTTTGTATAAGCTGTTGTTTTACCAGGTACGCTTTTACCTCCCTTCCTGGCCTCTGAACGAGGATCGAGATTCGGCACTTACTATACTCACTGCGGAAACGATATTTTAACTCCAACGTAATCAGAAGGTGTTTAGGTCCATAACCCGACGTGGTACAGACGTAAGACCTTTGCCAGACTCAAACTCGACGTGGACGGAATTCGAGCGTCTGGGAGTTGCGAGAACAATAAACGGATGCCACAAACCAAATTAGCCTACCTTTCAAATTTCAGATCCGGCTGGCCCAAACATCTCGAATCTCTCACACTTGACAGCTGCAGCAAAGAAGTGTTTCAGTATGGCAGCACCAACAAAAACACCCAACAACCATCCTTGTCGTAATGTCCCTGTCGCCATGTGTAGACTGCATCCACCGGAACAAGGACACAGGTTGGCGGACAGCCATCTGGCGCTACAATCTTCAGGTCCATCTTACCAAGGAAGGTAGAGCTCTAGCAGAGCGCGCATAAGGCAGTCAGACGAATTGCTTCCGCGGGATCAAATATTTCGTTCTTCCATATGTTAGAGCATGCACAGGCGCTAGTCACAGTTAAAACAAGAATGGATCACCTCGATAAACTCAACCATTATAGTCTGCGGTATCGCAAGCCCAGAAACTTTCTTCTGACAAAGTACACAGGGCCATCAAAACAAGAAGAAAACAAAGTCGGAAACTACGCACTGGCGATATCTAGCGCTTGTCACATACTTCCGCTTAAATTCGTCCCAATGTTAGCGACGTATGTGACCAACTAGAGCGCAGTGAGGGCGCGACAGACTGCTTTGGAAGTAAAAGCCCGCTATTGACATGGCTGGGGGGTGAAATGCATGAGAGACCAGAGGGTACCAAATGACTGAACAACCCACCAAATACTTATGAAACAATGTCGGTATGGATCCAGCGTAACATGCTCGAGCCAGAATATCAACATCGCAATCATGGCGAGCATGAACGATATGAAGAGCAGAAAATAGGGAATAGACGATGAAAAGTAAGGATAGGGATAGGTTACAGGAGTGCCCGTACTAGTGACGATAACGCCACTTGTAGCGAGCAGGACGCCCACCTTGTGGGGAGTATGTAAGTTAGCGCAGGCTTCAGCTTGTAAGGAGTCGGATAACTTACTTTGGTGATAACGTTGTCCAAGATAGAGGACGCCTCAGTCCCAACGGTTTCGAGTGCTTCCTCAAATTGTAGCGACTTCTAATGGTTTTCAAGATCAAGACGCCCCAGGACACAATGACAGAGTATCTTGTCATTAGAAGGGACACCTTGAAAACCAGTCATAAAGTGAGTCTTCTACGTTTTCCAAGCTCACCTCGGTGAAATTGAGAATGAATTGCTCATCACTGAGTAAGTATAATTACATTATGCCACGCTTATTAATACACAGTGACCATCATCCTTGTATGGTTCGATGGTCTAATGGTTATGATTTCTGTCTCACATCACGTTGTTCACAGAAGGTTCCCAGTTCGATCCTGGGTCGAGCCACTTTTTTCTCTTTTTCACAACGAAGCTCTTTTCGAGGCTCGGGTGTATTACATTTACCAGACGCGCGGCAGAACTGTTCGCTCGATCGTTGCCACGAAATGAAGCATGAGCCTCTCGCCATTGCGTATGTATTCTGTATTGAGGGAAACAAGTTCTAAATGCTACACCATTCAGGATGATATCTGATTTCTTCCACCCGAACGTGGGAGGAGTAGAAAACCACATATTCATGCTCAGTGCAAATCTTATCCGTCGTGGTCACAAGGCATGATTTTTCAAACTTCCTTTGACCTTCTCTACAATGTCGTTTATCTTGCATCCAACATTCTCAGGTCATCGTAATCACACACAGTCATCCTCCAGACCGAGTGGGCGTTCGCTGGCTTCTGCCAGGCTTGAAGGTATACTACATACCATTTCCTGCCATCGCCTCCTCCGCCACTCTTCCGAATTATTTTACGTTTTTGCCATATTTCCGCGTCATCATTGCACGCGAGCATATTCACCTTATTCATGCGCACGCGAGTCTATCGTCTCTGGGCCAGGAGGCTATTCTACATGCGCACCATCTTGGCGTCCGCACGGTGTTCACCGATCACAGTCTTTTCGGGTTTGAAGATGCAGCGAGCATATTAACCAACAAACTCCTTGCGGCGGCTCTTAAAAATGTCGACGCTGTAATCTGTGTCTCGCATACTGGGTGGGTGGTCAACTATTACAATCGATGTCGCTCTTATTTTCTCGTGACCGTGAATCAGGAGGGAAAATACAGTCCTGCGTGGACAGTTGTTTGAGATTTCTGAAGATTCCTCTGCACTTGTCGTCCGACCAAATGTTTATGTGATTCCAAATGCTTTGGTTGCGGAGCAGTTTACTCCAGCTACCAAGCCTGTGTCGTCAGAAACTAGTAAGTGCTTCCATGTCGTTGTGGCAGAAAGGGACAACTCATTTTTCTCCAGTCTATATCGTGGTTTTGTCTCGTCTGGCGTATCGTAAAGGCATCGACTTACTGGTAGCCACTGCCCCCCGAATATGTTCCGCCTTTCCTAACGTCAATTTCATCGTAGGCAAGTCGCTCCATCTCCAGTATCATCCAACCCTAATTCGCTGGCGTAGGGGGAGACGGACCCAAGCTGAATGACCTGTTACAAGTAAGAGAACGACATCTCCTCCAAGACCGCATAGAGCTCCTCGGTCCAGTTCGACATCGCGACGTGCGAGACGTAAGTAGACATGAGCGAATTCGACTCTCATGATCATGATTCATACACGTCTCTGCAGGTTCTCGTGCGAGGATCTATATTTCTGAACACCTCACTGACGGAATCGTTTGGGATCGCTATTTTGGAAGCTGCGTGCGCAGGTCTTTATGTGGTCTCGACACGAGTAGGCGGAGTCCCGGAGATTCTCCCTCATGACATGATCTCGTTTGCGAAGCCAGAGGAGGATGGTACGTGTGGGACCCTGCGCAAGTTGTATATATCATTTTAGACCGTTTTTCATTGTCATTTTTTTTAGATTTGATCCGTGCCCTGTCAGAGGCGGTTGCGATTGTTTCGAAAGGCCAGCATGACCCCATAGAAGCTCATCAGAAGGTAAAAAACTTTTACAACTGGGGAGAAGTCGCGGAACGGACCGAGATTGTGTACGATGCTGTCGTCAAGTCTGAACAGAAGGATCTCTGGACTCGGATGCAAAGGTAACTTTGCACACAGTGCTGATAGACCCTGGCTCAAATGTCATAGAACTATGGAACTGGGGCCATTTGCAGGACCGATCTACACAATCATCCTTGTGGTGGATTGCCTATTCTTCCTATTTCTGGAATGGTTGATGCCGCGACATGATCTGGACTTTGTTCAAATGCATTGGGAACACCACAATTTTAGACATGTGGTACAGTAGCTTCATATCAACTGACTAATACATATCTAATCTCTCGAGAATAAGCTGCAAAAAATGCCGAACCAAGAGACAATTAACCATAATCACTAGACACGACCAGATGAGATTGTAATGCCAATACTCTGTCCAATGGGGATGCATCATCGAAAGCAGACCAAAAGGTTGAACAAAAAGAACAAAATTGGATACTAGGATATCATACCACACGCCTCGGCCTCTTGGGCTTTCCCCCTCGCCTCCTGCTCCGCTTGGAGCCATCGTGCCCATCGTCTACATCCATCAACGCGTCGTTCACAGTAAGTTCATCTGAAGGCCGCTTCATAGGAACTTTCACGCGATCTCTCAATGAAAAGGACGATTGTCCGCCGTCAACACCCAACCGATCGATTAGAGAGCTACCGTGGTTGTTAGACGACCGATCGAAGCGATCTCCATGGAAGGAAGTCTCCTCGAAGTGCTGATTGAAACGTGAACCAGAGGGGGCCCCCCAAGGCGCTGAGCCATGACGGGGACGAGTTGAACGTGGACGTCTTGGTTCTGTATCGGGGCGAGGAGGTAGAGAGTGCGGAAGGTGACTCTGCAGAAGTCGTGCACGTTCTGGATGCATAGCCAGCGGAAGAGATTGATGCGACCCTTCACCGTTCGCGGCATGCTGACCAGAGGGCGACGACTCTGCGTTGACATGGCGCAAGGACTCGTGCGGAGGTAAATCCCGTGTTTTAGACCACTTCGAATTTTTTGAGTCATCTACATGCCATTCCTGATTATGATCCAGTGAAGGCGGACCATGGTCACGACGATCATTGCGACTGCTGCTACGTGGGTGTTCAGGAAGATCGTTTGTCTCCTTTCTTTCAGGACCGTGAGGCCGCGATTCCTGCGGCCCGTGACTACGAAGAGAGATGTCCCCGTCATGCTTGGATTGTTGTGACGGATGAACGGCATCACGTGCCGACGTCGTGGAAGAGTTCCTGGAAAGCGGAGGGGAGGTTGCATGATCATCGTGATGATGAGAATGAGGACTCTCGGGCGTCTGGTCACGTCTGCTGTTGAGGTGCGGTTTCCCCTCAAGTTCCGGAACTGGAGGTCCGAAACGAGTCTACAGTGCTAGCGTCAGTCAAACTCTAACGGCTATGCTCAGAAGACCCACTCTTGCTGCACGTGCGCCTAATCGTAATGGTGAATCTGTATTGGTAGGCGCATTCGCAGGTGGGTCTGGCACAGAGAGAGGCTTACGCGGAAGGAGCTGTGATGTAAACTTGTGAGGACTCAATTTATTTCCACACAAAAGAGAGCGTACAGGTGAAACTATGCGCTCTGTTTGCCGACGTTGATCGACAAGCATCTTCGTTGAACGCTCTCTGTCGTGGAAATCATCCAGACGAGGCTATGGATATAAATAAGGAACATGGGTCGCAATGATATGCATGTGAAACATACTAATCGATCGTGATTGTCCATCGCACCAGTAGGTGGACGAACAGGACGAGAAACCACAGGCTGCGCGTTGCTTCCAGACACATGAACGCCTCGGCGTGAAGCGGAACTCGCCGGAGGTAGGAAAGACGCAGGCGGTACTGGTGGATGCGGTGAAATTGAAGCGGAACCACCAAAGCGGTTGCCTCTGCCACCAATTGGCATACTGTTTGTTCCAGAAAGCTTTGGCGTTGGAGCACTAGGAGGCGGCCTTGACATATCAACATGACGACGAGAAGTATCGCGCTGTGAATCAAAATGTAAAAACTCGACAGAAGACATCGAAAAGGTACCAACCGAAATCCGAGTCGATGATTCAACAGGCGCACGCCTTTCATCCCGCGAGGGCGCAGCTCGGGAGACATCCTCGTGTGCTGTGCGATGAGGCTCTTTCCATTCAGAACGCGATAGTTTGGGAGAGCGATCTGTGTCCGGTTTACCTCACGTAAATGAATGAAGCGGGGTAAGTGCCTACCTGGAGATCTCCGTCGTGCAGGTATCTCGGCATCGTCCATCATTGCCCGAGGGCGTTTGGGAGCGGAGCCGTCACGATCCTCGCGATAGCGCTGACTATTCACAAGCTGTCGAGAAGGTTCAGTGGACTTGGCGATACTGGCTGGAGGGTCCTCAACATCCATCTGATCTTGGCCTCGTTTGTCCCTAGACTCATTATGAGCATAGGTATCTGTCTGAGAGTTTGAATGAAGCGCAGAACTGGAATGCGCTTGTCGAGATCCTCTGGCGTCGGAGGATCTGGTGTCTCTTGAGGCCTCCAAAGGAGACAAGCGCGGGCCCGACGGAATGCGTGCATCGTTGGTAATCAACCGAGAAGCCGGGGCACTATCACGAGTGGCAGACGGTGGCGAGCGGTACCCGACATCCGCTCTTCCACGTGAACCTTCCTGAAAACTGTCACGTTGCGGTGGCAAAGGCACCCGTTTTCGAGAGCCTGAACAAGCGAGAGATGCACGCGAATGGCAGACGACGTTGGCATGAGGAAGAGTGGATGGGTGAAGAATACGTACGTTCGATTGGGGGGGATGGGGTGGGGGGTACCAACTGCTCCTGCGGTGCTTGGGGCGACGTCTGGTGCGCCATGACTGGGTGTTCGTGAGCTCTTGCATCAGCTTTGTGGCGATCACTTGTTCGATGACGAGACCGAGTGCCATCTGCACTAAGTGACCTGGCTCGGCCGCGCGTTTCTCGCGAGGGCTTGTCAGGTAGATCTGGAATTCGTTGGTCCACTTGAGCAGAAGGCGCTTGAATGAAGCGACTGTTCTGCCTCGCTGCGGACGACAACTCATCACGCAAGGTGTCGGGGTCGTTCGAGGACGGCAATGTAGGCGGATACTGAACGTCATGACCGTGACTGACAGGCGATCTGGGTCCTAGAGAATAACAAAGGAGAAAAAAAAGAAAAAGAAGAGGATAAATATAAGGATAGGGGGAAAAGGAGGAAGAAGATAGGGATCCATGATGAGCGTCCGTGTGTCCATGCGAGGAAGAAGTCGAATACAAAAGAACGAAATATGGTACTACGCAGCTCAACTCTCGAGGTTGTGCGGGACGCAGCAAAGGCCTTGCGCCCTGTACCCCAGGAGGAGCAGATACGCCGACGAGGGATGAGGATAGGGGATGATGTAGATAACGTACTTATTGTCGACATTCTGTCGGCATCGCGAGAGCTCTCGCGACGCTCGCGTTCTTTGTGAGGAGGTTGCTCGACTTCACGGTGTTTCCCTTCGTGTGACACTGACCGATCAACAGGCGACGGAACTCGAGGTGCTACCCAAACGCGGTCTACATCTGCTATAGGTGAGCCGGGACGCACAGAGTCCTTTGTGGATGCTCTGCCCCTATTCTGGTCCCCGTTGGCTGAAGGCGACCACTGGCGACGGGAAGACAGAACGCGGTCATCTGCGCGGTGGCGCAGTGGCGGTGAAAGGGACCGTTCTCCATTGGCTCTGTTGGATGCCAAAAAAGAATCATTTTGACTACCATAGGATTGTATTGACGGTCGCTCATCCCGTCGAGCACTTTCTCCAGGGCGGTAATGGCGATCATCATAAGACAAAATGGTACCAGCATCTGACCGGCCTATACGGGAGGTCAGGGGATCATCAGTCTTGCTGATAACAACGATATCCCGGGTTTCGTCAGCAACGCGCCGATCACGAGCAGGCGGGGAGCTGCCAGGACGCGTCCAAGTCGATTCCTTGGTGCGAGAATTATAATAATAGACACCGCGGCCATTTCTTGGGTGTCTAACCTCCCAATCTGGGGGAAGTACATCCCCTGATTCAAATGTCGTGGGCTTGGAGACAACGGCAATGCCATTTTTCTTGTCCCGGTCGACGCGAGCTGCCATAGCTGTAGCTTCAATGATGGACGGATGAGAAGGATGCATAAATGGAACTGAAGACACTATTGGTTTGGGAGGAAGAGCATGAGTAAGTTTCCCAAACGACAACTGGCGATTGAGAACTGGAGATGATTCGGGAACCGTATGTGGTTCCTGGGGAGTCCTTACTGGCGTTTTGGGCCTATCATGCTCAGGAGCCTTGCCCCGAGCGTTGGCGCCAGAAACTGGTATCTCCAGATTTTTTTCCGAGTGATTGACCGTCTTTGAAGGAGACTGTGTGCGCTGAGCACCGCCCTGTGAAACGCAAGGCTGGTAGGTCAGGAATTCGTCGTCCTCGTCACCTCCAAGCGACACAGCATCTTCTGCATCCTCAGCAGCGAGACTTGGATCTTGCTCCGAAGTTCCCCGGTCTTCCTCCTCATTTCCCCAGTCTAGGACTTCTGTTTCATCTTCCACCATGGTGCGGACGAGAGGAGTGATAAACTAACGACAGAAATGCGTTCCCAAGTTGGCCGAGGAGAACCTCCTAACTCCGACCCAAAATTTAATTCCCGCCCGCTCCCTGCCGAGGTCTGAGACCCCGTGTATGTACATTGATCAAGGATTTCAGTGGCAAAATCAATCATTCCATCATGCTCTCAGGTGTCGTGGCACATGAACATTATGATTCGACCACCTGGAGGGTTTGCAGAGACTTGCCACAAAAATTGTTTAGCCTTTCGTTGAAATTGTTGATGTCAAGACTTGACGATCACAATGCGTTATTATAACGGGTATGATTTCATTTGAAGCGCAGAGATCTGAAAGCTCTTATATATACAGTCACTTCACCGCCTTGTCCAAGTCTGGGGCGTGCACAATTTAACACGTCTTTAGCCACTCGATTTAGGAAATTGAAAAGCTGCAACGTCCCATAACATGGCGGTCATTTCGCGCATTGGAAGCTGAACAACTATGACTCTGCTTCTGCAGCAATCACGAATGCAATGCAACTGTGACGCACCCCGATAAATATATGGGCCGCAATGCCCTACAACAGCCTGTTTATAGCATCACAAAGCGCGATATTGATCATGCTCTCCGCTACCACTGGCTTGCTCATAACGCAAGCTCAAGGGGTAAAGACACCGGATACGAGAGCCTTGTTCATGTCTTGGATGCTCGTTACCATCAAAAAACTTCGTTGTGATCTTGGAATCCGTGCTTGGCGCCGGGCACCGCCGAGTGCTGAGGGCCGGTGACTTAATTTGAAGCCATTCCTGAAAGGTATCATAGGTTCTGTTCCACGAGCCCACATTTTTATTCGATTGCGCTTCATCCAACTCAAGATGCTCCGACCCTTCCATTGGGCGTTTTGCCGTCGGATCAGCATCTGGACGCGTCGATTATAAGCAACTAAAATCGTTCGGAATAATGTCCTCTCAAAGAGACCCCTTCCCATGCGCAACATTCGTTCCTGCAACGGCCTCACATTCTGTAATGCCAACTACTTAGTTATTGGACTCGACGAAGATATCAATCTATGGAAGCTGCTTAGACGGTAGCAGCACAACTCAATTCACTGTTTCGGCATAGGTGCAAGACAGCAGTTTTATTTTTTGCTAGATACGTCGGTGTGTGTCGAAAAACATTAATATTGTAAACATACGCATAACTCTTGGATCGAATATTATTATTAATATTGCAGTTGGAAATGCGCTTACAAATCATCAACGAGTAGTTGTTCCGAACCCGATTCCGATCAGCCCTTGTTGGTCATCATCACCTCTCAGTCGCCGCCATTCATCAAATTCTGTTCAAAGTGTCTTCATCTCGCACTCTTTTTCGACGCCCTCGAGTTGGCACAGACATGTCCATGCCTATACTTCCCTTAACATCTCCATCATATCCTAATCACAATTTATCTGGCACTCCCATGTCTGTCTCCAATCGCGTGCCATTAATATTTCGACGGTTGCATAGGTTCCAGCAAATGGTGTGAAGTGCATGCTGTTAGGTTCTGAGTAGAGGTTCTGAGATAGATTGGCTCTGCAGGATTTTGAACTGGCCTTTTGGCAGCTGTCTTATCTCTGCCTGGCACCCAAAAGAGTGTGAGCCAACTCCCGAAATATCACACAATTATGATCCATTGACGCCTAACTAATAGTTATCGAAACGTGTACTACCACAAGCGTAGGTCAATAGATCTTGGTCTGAATCAAACATTTATGTGTTTACTGTAGAGACCAAGAACACCTGGGCAAGAGATGACCCAGCAATCTTAATTTTGCTATTTGCGAGCCTCTTTGGTGAGATCCATCTATGCAACTATTCAGAAGTTATTCACAACGTATGATGTCATTCAGTTGCTGCAGTAGCATGGTCTATTGTGTATTCGTATTCTCCACTTCAGGCTGTACGATTAGCCTTTGTGATGATACTGCGAGATTACCTCCTCGTCGGTGCACTGAGTGCGACTCTTCTTTGGTTCGTCATTCTCCTTTTCTAAGGCGTGATGCTAACTGATCATTTTCCTTCATAGGTTCTTCGCCAACCGGGCGTTGGTATCACCTTCCTCTCATTCATCACCTACAGACTCTTCAGTCGAATGGGCATATGCTTTCGACGTTCATACGAATGCATTTTTCCCCTTGTATCTGACACTCTATTTAGCGCAATTGTTCCTCCTTCCCGTAGTGTTAAAGGATAACTGGGTTTGCCTCCTTATTGGCAATACCCTATATCTTGCAGGGCAAGTCTTGGAGGTCACGCCACCTAAATTGTCCTTTGATCATTGATTTCGCCAACAGGTTTGCCCAGTATGTCTACGGAGTGTACCTCGGACTAAGCGGTATGCAAACCAACCTTCTCTTCTATCTCGCCGCTAATTTTTTTCTTCACATTCAGCTCTGCCATTCTTGATACGTTCCGAAATATTGCTGGCCCCACTATTGCCGCTATTTGCGAGCTATGTTGTCTCGTTATTGGGTTTCCACGTTGCAAAACATGTTCTGAGCGTGTACTTCGGTTCATAATACACTGCATGATACAGGAGCTGGACGATAAGCGTGAACTGTCATTGATTACTCTAGCTATTTCCGCAGTAGTGTGCTGTAGCTTGATTACAATAATAATAGACACTTTGTGTGTTACAACCTTGAAGCTGTGGGCCCAGGGGTATTTTCAAGTTCTCCAGTCACCGCCACTGAGCGTCTCTCGCACTCCCTTCTGTGCGACTGATATCTTCTTCAATCTCCGTCATCATGCACATCGCACAAGCTCATGTTGACCGTGCAATTGAACAGATCCAACACAAGAAGCCGCTTCCCGATATCGACTTCACTCAGCATGTACTTGAAGATGGGAATACAATCAGCACACAAGAGCGGGTTGTCAAAGATGTACGCTCGCGTCATCGGCTACTCATCTTAATCTGCCTGTTGAGCTCTCATTGCAGGTGCAAGCGCCAGCTATGAACGTCCCCACGGATGCCCAGTTTTTCTCCAAACAAGATCCCACCAAACCTGACGTAGCGTTCCTCAAGAACCACTTTTACCGCGAAGGCCGGGTCACCGAGGATCAGGCGATATGGATTTTGGAAAAGGCAACTGCGCTCCTTCGTGCGGAGTCCAACGTCTTGCAGGTCGACGCGCCAATCACAGGTGAGTGTGCTTGTCGTCTCCCGTAGTCACCCCATGCCAACAAACCATCTCACTTAGTGTGTGGCGATATCCATGGTCAATATGTATGCGCCCTCGATTGTTGGTCAGGATGATACATTACTGATCATCTCTCCAGTACGACCTCATGAAACTGTTCGAAGTTGGCGGCAGTCCAGCGGACACACGGTACCTTTTCCTCGGAGATTACGTTGATCGGGGTTACTTCAGTATAGAGGTGTGTCCTGCATTAATACTCGACCTTCTCCAACTCATCCCATCCCATAGTGCGTTTTGTATCTGTGGTCCCTCAAGATCTGGTATCCCGACACCCTCTTCCTTCTCCGTGGCAATCATGAATGCCGGCATCTCACAGATTATTTCACTTTCAAGCTCGAATGTATGTATCAATCACTTCATCATCTTTGAATGAATACTCCACTAACGTCACTCAGGCAAGCACAAATACTCGGAGCGCATCTACGACGCTTGCATGGAATCCTTCTGTGCACTTCCCCTTGCTGCCGTCATGAACAAGCAATTCCTATGCATCCACGGCGGTCTTTCACCAGAGTTGAACACTTTGGATGATATCAGAGCGGTACGTCCATTCGCGGATCTTCCATGACACAACGTTCATTTATATTCCTTTTAGATCGATCGGTTCCGCGAGCCTCCGACACACGGCCTGATGTGCGATATTCTATGGTCGGATCCTGTTGAAGACTTTGGGCAAGAGAAGATGAATGAAAGCTTCGTTCATAATCACGTCCGAGGTTGTTCTTACTTCTTCACGTGAGTGGTTTCAGGTGTCCGATGTATTTTGATTGATCGTCGGCATATAGTTACCAAGCTGCCTGTCAGTTCTTAGAGCGAAATAATCTTCTTTCGATCATTCGCGCACACGAAGCTCAAGATGCTGGGTATGTTTCAATTGTACAGCTGTCTATTTTACTCATGCGGTCGCTCGAAAGCTATCGTATGTACCGGAAGACAAAAAGCACGGGCTTTCCTTCTGTCATGACGATCTTTTCTGCTCCCAACTACCTCGACGTCTACAACAACAAAGCCGCCGTCTTGAAGTACGAGAGCAACGTGATGAACATTCGGCAGTTCAACTGCACGCCTCATCCGTACTGGCTACCTAACTTCATGGACGTGTTTACTTGGAGTTTACCCTTTGTGGGCGAGAAAAGTACGTTCACGGAGTCTATTTAGAGCGTCTATTCAGAACTGAGCGGCGACTCTAGTCACAGATATGCTTGTTGCTGTGCTAAACACTTGCAGTAAAGAAGAGCTCGAGGAGTCTGACGAGGAACAGGTTGTTTCACGAGTAGCCCACCCCGAAGAGGTGGTGGAGAGGCGAAAGATCATCAAAAACAAGATCCTTGCAGTTGGACGGATGGCGCGTGTGTTTGCTTTGCTCCGGTACGGGATCCTTGTCTACACGTTGTACTAGTTTGACGGATCTGTCGCAGAGAGGAGTCGGAGAAGGTTTCAGAGCTCAAGAGTATATCTGGTTCTAGCAAGTTGCCGTACGGCACGCTAGCCTTAGGTACAGAAGGCATCAAAGATGCCATTTCTGGCTTCGAGGACGCGTACGTTCAACTTTTCCCACCTGCATGCGCTCTCGGTATTCATTACATCTTCATGCAGACGGAAGTCAGATATCGAAAACGAGCGTCTGCCTCCAGAACTTTTCGATGCCGAAGAGGCAAAGGCCTACCTGGCTCAAGCACAATCTGGGTCGTTACCGACGACCCCAGCAGACACCATCGAGTCCCCTGTGTCTCCGAGTGGAGTCAACGTTGGAGTGGAGCCTTCCATGTCGTCGGGATCGCTGACGTCCTTACCCAGTCTCCCGAGCGGCGGACAGATGGGGTCTCCGCGCACCCCGTTCAAGGGCAGACATGGCCGGCAGGCTTCGCTTGGGACGACGATGACGAGTCCCTCTACGAGGCGCCGGAGTTTGGAGAGCACGATTTCGATGATCCAGGAAGCGCTAGACGGGAAAGATTTAGAGACTCATGGGCTTCCTGGAAACGGTTCGCCTTATGGAGGCGGGGGCGGTAGTTCTTCCCATAGTTGATTGGGATCGAAGCGATACTGTATATCCATAGTCATTTTTTCTAGTCGCTTTGATGGATCGCAACCTTGTGATGAAAAGAACGAGTATAAGTATGATTATTAATGGACAACTTTATTGATGGGTTAGCAGACTGAATGCCACTCTCGTCCACCGACCTGCGCTAAGCTCTTCGACTGATTAGGCTCAGGCAATCGTAATAGGTTCGAAGTCATTAACCGTCAGGCCCACTAGGCTACCTCAGGGGTTATGTCCGGCGATCTTCATTCCGGCCCAGCAAATAGCTTGTAGTCGTGTAATCTCATGACGGAGGGCATCAGTGACATCATATTCTCAAGATTCCTATATCATGACTTGCAATTGGAAGGTAAGAATGAGTGCAAATGTATGAATGGTACCGGTGCTTTCTGATGCCGTGCGCTTTTGTGAAAAGCGTGTGCACATCCTGCACTTGAGCTTGAGCGCTGACTACATACTACATATACTCTCGTCTACATTCTGACCACCTTTGTGCGGAGCTCGAGGCCATATAAAACATACTTATACAAATCTGCATGCACCAAAGCCGAGATTTCGGTACATGTCATCCGGTCGCGCGTTGACTCTTGTGCGGCGCACATCAAGATAAGCCTCTTCTCTTTATACATTCTAACAATTACGATAACACTGGAATATGATGCAGTGACGGGCTAATACGTCTCGGCACCTGTGGAATGTTTGTTGATGGCTAGGAATCGGAGTTCGAATTTTATCTAGCTATCATCAAATCCCACACCAGGATCATAGCGCACATTCCCTAGGGCCACCCTTGGCAGCACTTTGAAGATGTTCCCACGTACTGTCAGACCCTATTACTTTGTAGGAATTATATGGTCTGAGAGACCCCCTCCTCCAGGAGGCTGCTCCCTAGTTTTGCAGGGCTGAGTAGATCTCCCTTGAGAGGATAAATGCCGACGCTCGTGGAAGAGGGTGAGTGCAGTCTCCTGGATGTTTCTTATCGAGCCTCAACACGACCATCATCTTCTCCAGATGCTTGCCACCTGACAAGGGTCCCTATGTCATCATCTCCATATGTTGCCCCACAATGTTAGCGAGTGTGATTGCGATTCGCGGATGTGTTTGGGAGCCTCTGGAGTTCATATGTTTCTCAGCATGTCCAGGTCCATATGTTTTTTTCCGCGATCCTTCCAATCGAATGTTTTTCTTTCTTTTTTTTCTGCCTGAATCCGAGCCTTAGGCTCATCCATGATACAAAACAACATAATTTGATCAGACTCGCGTGGTAAGTACAATGGCAACAACTAAACATCAATGGCAAGAAACATAAGATGTGAGGTGTGTGATGATCTATGAGATGATGCTGGTATCTCGAACTGATTGCGACCGCCTCAGACAGCACATGGTATACAGTCTGAAATTATATGTCGCAGTACGCACTGCGAAGCAGCATCCCATACATACCATCTTCCTGTGGTCATGATGGAGAGCCTCCACGATGGTTTGAGAATATATCCCGTAGTGCTCTCGTTGATAGTCGACAGAGTCGAATTCCACAGGTTTGAATCATTGCAGGTCATCTGAGGAAGCGCAGCTGAGTGTGAATATAAGACTGCAGCGAGGTGCATGAGGGAGGCGTTGCTGGACCTGTAGGTGATTGCATCAATAAGTAATCTTGAGCACAAGCGTAGAGTGTGTGGCACATCCCTGGTGAAGATGTGAGAGTGTATAGATAACTCACCTCAAGCTTGGGGTGTTAGCCTATGCGAGATAAGCAAGCTGCACGTGTAGAATCCAAGTCCAAACTCACTTTTTCCTCTTTGAGCATGACGACAGCGTCATGACAATGAGTATGTCAGCACCACTTGTGTGCTGATTCTCGTCTAATTGATGGTCTATCATCCGTTCTCCGTTTCGCTTTGGAGTCACAACTTGATAGGGTGTCTTGGCTGCTGGTTGCACAGGGACCAACCGTGTCAGAACCACCACCGTGTACAGATACAGCAAACCATTTCACAGTGTAATCCTCTTCCGCAGACAAGGTACGGCCTAGAGGGAATGCCAGCAACCTGTCAAATTCAAACTTCAAGCCATATTCGCCATACTAAACATGTTGGTCACCATCTGATCCTTGATGAACTTATAGGGTGCAGAAGCCATCTCTTCGGGAGTGTCGCACCACTCGCGTGCTAGGCGCTTGAAGCCAGCGCCAGGGAGCCACTCGGGGACCTTGGCTAGTGCCACTAAAATGGTAAGGCCATCGGACGCAAATATCAAAATGCTATAGCTTACGGTATGGTGTGGAATCAGCCATGAAGACACCGGAAGAGGTGGAACGGGAGAATTTGTCGAAAGTGTGGCCTGCAAGGGTCAACAAAGGGATCGTTGTTTTCTTTCACTTCATAGCCATAAGAGATGCGCAGAATGATAGCGCCAGCAGTGCCAGCAATGTACAGGACCTTTATACCTGTACCCCGTACCGTCAACTCAAGGTCGAAACAGCCAATGGTATGGGTACGATGAACAGCCCTAGGAAGCATAAATAAATGATCAGCTATAGTTATAAATGTGAAAAAATCATACCTATTGTGCAAGACGCCGGACGCAGACAGTGCACAACACATGCGACACAGTGACCTTGGCTAGCACCCTCGACAATTCCAGGAAGATCGAGCAGTTGTATACGTGTCCCCTGGTACTCAATCACTCCATGTATCATCCAAGTATTCCGTACAAGTCAGTCATCAATGACTGAGAACAGTACAAGCTGAGTGAACAAGTCAGTATTGTTATTCAGTAGTACAATAGGCTCCTTACAGTCCTCAGAACATCTACCAGCTATAATGCAACATTCAGGACAATGATAGAGGGGATAGAGCGGGAACAAAGCGCACTCTTGATATTCATAAGTGTGCATAGTTGGATCTTGCTAGGGTCATGATTCTGACAATGGATGCTACTTGCGTGGAAGGAAAAATAAAATGGAATTGAGTGGGGCTAGTTGTTCACTTTCCATAGGGCCCATCTCGGAGATGTGTAGATGTTAGAACAAGGGCGATGAGACGAGCTGAATGATAGTAAGCTTCAAGTTGAATTTGGAGGTACATAAGGTCATGTGACAAGATACGTCGTGTCACGAATGTATCAACAGAGACACGTGTGTGCCCAATTCAAGAGCTCGTCTCGCCTTGTGAATCCTCCTCGGTACTGAGTCTTTGAGAATCGCCATGTAATGGCATGACAACATGACGTGAATCACCTGTAGAACACTGGATGTGGATCAACTTCAGGTGCCTGGGCCTGTGCTATGGCTCTTGAGGGCATCTCACGAGCCTCGTGAGATGCTCTCGAGAGGTTTAAGCAGCCAATCAAGTAATGAATAAAACTCCAACTAAAACATAAAACATTGATTATGGACTGAGTACTGATGATAACAGCATCTGGAATGGTCTGGAATAACAGCACAGCAGTCCCTACATATAATAAGACCACCATTAAGTACTATTGTAAGGCAAATGACCCACAACGCTGCACTTTGCACGAAAAGTGCAGTGCAATGGGTCATTTACTTTACATGATTCTACTAAGAAGGTTAGTCACATACAGTTGGACCGAAACTGATCTTATGCTCGCAACTTTACTATCTGCTTCAATTTATTTGTTGTCCGGCTTTCTGTCGCATACAACAACTGTAGTACAGACTGTTCACATACTGTAATATTTCAGCTACTAGTAGGGATTGGTGCAAGTATAAATCATTGTCAAAGTTACTTATTTCTAAGTACATGAGAAGATGATAAAGCGAAGGGACACTCCATCATTTCTGACATTGCCACTACACTCGCTGCACTCCAACCTCCGTGCAAGCACTATACGGCATACTTTTCTACTCCTTCAGCCAATGCAGACATGCTTGGTAAAGGAGGAAAGGATCTGTACGATTTTCTCGGCAGCTATGTCTACATGAAGAGCGGCAATTGGGATGGAAATGATGCACACCCTCTACCTTCTGCATCTTCACCTTCACCGAGCATTAGTGAGCTGACAAGGGATCTTGCTACTCTGCCAGAGTACTACATCATGCCACTGCACGAAAGTATGCCAGACAGTGTATCCAGTACGTCTGGGAGTCGACTAGTCAGGGTTGAGTGGCGCTGATCTATCAAGTAAGTATGTCATGTCTCAGTGTCTGGATCAGAACTCTATATTGATGATGTACCTATCAAGTAAGTATGCTGCATCGCAATTATTTTGGCTAGGGATTGGTGCAAGTATAGATCATTGTAAAAGTTACTTATTTCTACAACTTAAGCCTAGATGTGAACAGACACGGACAACGTCAGCAGGACACAGTTCAGCATCCTACCCTCCAGGCAGCCCGTGAATGATCAGTGGATCTCGACTTGGGCCTACAGTCAATGAATACATATGCGGGTCACAAAGGATCACCAATTTAATGTCCATAACAAATGGTTTGTATGGACCAGCGCTTCCCTGTAGCCGGCGATGAGAATGATCAATACGACCATCAGCATACCCTCTGTGATTGCGCTTGGCCTTGAGTTCTGATGATATGCAAGGAAGGCACAGAGACAGATCTTCCAGATGTCCATCCTGACAAACACGAGTTGAACACACCTCTGAGGGCAGGTGCCTGTACCTGTAGAGGAAGTAATAGTTGTAGCGGAAATAGAAAAGGAGGATAATGTATATAAATACCTGAATCAGCAATCGTCCCAGCGAGCTCGCATTACTTGGCATGCAATGAAGAAATTTGATGCTTGAGGCAAATATCAAGCCCAGAGACTTGGTATTGAACTGGGGTTGTGGAGGAGTGATAAGATGATGCCCGATGACAACTTCTGGGTGCAGGAGTGTGCAGGATGATACCAGCAGGCGAACATGCCAGTTGCTCACAGAAGGTACGAAATGGCAACTTTGAGTAAAGAAAGATGAAAAGGTTTAGAAAAACTTACTAAAATAATGAGAGAAGTGCCGCATGAGAACACCATAGCGCAGCCGTAGTGTCATCATTACTGAGATGGTCAGGGCACAGGGTATGGGTGCTGGAGAGCGCAGTTGGGCATGGTTTGATTGCGAGGATGCAAGAGATGCGCTGGGGGGTGTAAGGAAGGGCTGGAAGTATGCGGGAGAGCAGCACACTGTCTGGGCGCCAGCCTTGCAAGACTGATCTCCCGTGCTAAGCTCTGGAATGCAACAGTGAGAGTCTCAACTCTCGAGCATCTCGTCCGTCGTGGTCTTCTGCACTGCTTGTTGCGACCTGTGCTTTCTTCGGTTCTTGGTCGGGCTGATAGTCTGAGTCATTTGCCATGAAGTCGTCCTCATCGTAAGAATAATTCATGGTGTCTTTGATGTTTGTTGGTGTTTCGGATCAAACAGGCGAACTAGAACTGGGGGTATCAGTAATAGTTAGTACTTGTGGCTGCATTAGAGCAGCCATCTGGTCAAGAATGTGCTGGTGTTTAGAGTTAACGCCAGGAATATGAACAAGCGTCTGTGTTTTTTTGGCGTCCCGAGTCTTCTTGGGGCTAATAAAGTGGTGTCCGAGTCCCGTAGATATTGGCTGAGCACCACGCGTAGGGCGGATGGGTGCCATGGTGGTGGATGTAGTAGTGTTGAACAAGAAAAACAGACTTAGCGACTGAAAGCAGCATCGAAGATGCTAGTAGAGCACAGAGGCTCTGTACCTGGTATGCACGCCATAGGCTCTATCCATAGGCTCGATGAAGGGGAAGGTGGTATTGGCGAGGATCTTACGAGGTTGTATTGGAGGTATGGGGCATCCAGGGAGGGCTACGAGGATCCAGGGAGGCACTGGGGAGGAAGCAAGGTATATTTGGCACGTACTATAATTAGATCATCCCCGAGACTGGGTCTCACAGACCATATAATCCTAACATAATAATACCGTCTCACAGACCTTTAATACCACCGAAAAGTGCTGCCTGAGGTGGTTCACCGACTTAATCAAACACTGACAAACATGACATGAACCCATTTTTGAAAGAGTAAGACAGCTTCGAAAACACTAGAATTAGTAAACATTGTCAAAAATGCAGAATATTTCGATCCTAGGATATCCGACCATCCGACCCTATCCAGCATTTGCCCCGGATATGACTCAGTGTGACATCTACAAATAAACAATACCAAGCACACCACCTTGAACTATGTCACTCTTTCCCCGCCCCCACCCTTTGTGTCTCTTTCCCCGCCCTCACCCTTTGTGTCATGGTGAATGTTGGAGGTGGGCCAGTAGGAGCTGATGATGCAGCTGCTGCAGCACCTCAAGGGCTGATGGTATTGGTGTAGTCATTGAGTGCGGTGCAGGGAGGTAAGCATGTAGCGGCGCTGTTAGGTAGTGGCTTGGCTAAATGTAGTAATATTCCTGACGTTGTGCACAAGGTGGCTGACAGCGAGGACGTGTGGGAAACAGCGAGCTTAATCTTAAGAAGAAAGGGAGAATGGTTTTGGGAGGAGTCGCGCGCTCGCGTGGTTTGCGCTTGCGCCATGTAGGGCCATGTGGTTTTCACCTAGATACACTTAGATACACTTAGATGCGCTTAAGGCCACATGGTTTTCGCTTACCTCACTTGAACTTCTATTTGGAAACTCGTGTGGTTTTCTCGCGTCGCTAAGAGTAAGACTAAGACTAAGTAAGAAGAGTGAGTGTGAATGAACAAATTGAGTGAAATTTCTATGAAGTCCGAAAATACTGCCAAACACGATATAGTGGACAGTATTCCTCACACCTACTGTGCTGTGGGAACGCAACGGACAAACAACACACTTTTCCTACTATATGGGAAAGGCATCGAGAATAAAACAAAAGCAATGATAGAAATTTGATTACACTTTTGGTTACACAAATCATTACACAACTTGGCTGCTGCTTTTGAATAGAATTCTCGAGTTAAATTGCCTTTCCCTGCAGCCAAGTGTAATAAAGTGTGATACACTTTTTGTGGGTGTTATTTCTTATCAATGATGATAGAAATGACTTATTGATAAGTCCAGGCAAATTTTGCACTTGCTAAACAACCATTTGAATTTTTAACAACCATGGATGGACATATACCTATTCTGTGAGTTGCTGATATTATTGCTATGCATAAGGTGCATGATGCTAATGTCTGCACGTACCATTTAGAAACCAAGATCAAATCACCCCTGAACGCGACCGTCACTCACAACGTGAATGCGATAGACTCAATTGACTTCAGATGACATCTCCTACAAGGCGCAATCGTCGCCATGCTGCCCATGATAATCAGAATAGACCTCCACCTCCTGTACCCCAGCCTAATTTTGTGCCAGCTAATGAGCCCCAAGCAGGGCCCGTTCCACAACCTTTTGTGGAGCAACCTCCTCCCTACTTTTGATATCAACCACTACCAGTTGAGCAGTATCCTGGCTTGCCACAAAATGCAATTGCACATGTGCAGCGTGCTCATCATCATCCACCAGTGGATTATAATGCACGCTTGAATGAGCAAATGAATGCAGCTCATAATGATAGACACCGTTGACGTAATATTTGTCAGCAACAGGACAGAGATGAGATAAGACAGCAGGCACAGGCAGAACTCATGCAGCCTCCACAGGTGCTTCCAATTCCTAACCAGCACATCCAACCTGCTCCTCCCGCTCCTCCTGCATATGGCCCTATTCATTATGAGGGTGCTGTTGGTCCTCACAACCTTGATAATCCCCTGCACTACTTTGCACTCAATCATGCACCACCTATGCTTGCGCTACCAGAACCAGATTATCAGCAGTTTAATCTTCGATTTCAAAATCATATCAATGCAGAGCAAAGGGAACACGAGCACATTAGAAATGACTTGCTTCAAAGGCAAGCACAGGAGGAATTCCATCGAAATCAAGTGCAGCTACAATTGCAGCAGCAAGAGGCTGAGAGGGTCCGTAGACAGGCTCAATTGCAGCAGGAGGAGGCTCTTTACCTCCAGCAGCAAGAAGCTGAAAGGATCCAAAGACAGGCTCAATTGCAGCAGCAAGAAGCTGGAGGATCCAGAGACTGGCTCAATTACAGCAGCAGCAGGCTCTTCACCTACAGCAACAAGAAGCTGAAAGGATTCAAAGACATGCTCAATTGCAGCAGCAGGAGGCTCTTCGCTTGCAGCAACAAGAAGCTGAAAGGATCCAAAGATATGCTCAATTGCAGCAGCAGGAGGCTCTTCGCCTACAGCAGCAGCAAGCTCTTCACCTGCAGCAACAGCAAGCTGAGCAGCTCAATAGAGAAGCTCAATATGCTTTTGAAATGCAGCAGGAGGAAGAGGAACAGCATAACAGATAGGATCAGGATGGTCTCCGAGCAGCTCAACAACAAGAGGACCAGCACAATAGAGAACTGCAGGATGCTCAGCGGGTACATCAACAGGAAGAGGAGGCTCAATGCCGGCGGGAACAAAGTATTCATGAACAGGATGAGCATCTTGAAGAGGCTTTCCATGAATACAATGATCCAGCATCTCAGGAGCAGCATGCTGACGATGAAGAAAGAATAAGAACCCAGCAGCAGGAACACCGCCAGCAGCGTGAGGCAGAGGATGACCAGCATATCAATCAGGTGGTTCCTATTCCTGATGGAGCCTTACCTTATAGGGAACCAATTGACCACAACACTCTTGGTCCTCTTAATGTAGAGTGTCATAACTGTCATGCACTGCACTTTGCATCCAAAAGACTCTCCAACTCCTCTCTATGAAATCCACACTTTGGTATGTGCTGCTTGCAGGGCCAAGTCAGCCTTCCGCCCTTTTCAGAATGGCCACCTGTATCTCTGCAAGCTCATTGCTTCAAAAATCCGTGCTGAAGGCAAGATTGTCCTATGTGTGGCTTCCTTTGGAATTGCCTCTCTCCTCCTGCCAGGTGGACGCACAGCTCATTCACAATTAAAAATCCCTATTCCCATTAATGAGGACAGCTCCTGCAACATCAAGAAAGGAGATGTTGTCCACAAGCTTCTCAAGGCCACCTCTCTCATCATCTGCGATGAAATCCCTATGCTGCATCGTTATATTTTGGAATGCCTTGACCGCACATTGCGTGACCTTCTGGATGTAGATGCTGATTTTGGAGGAATGACAATGCTCTTTGGAGGAGACTTCAGACAGACCCTGCCAGTGGTGCCTCATGGATCCAGGGAGCAGATAGTGGGTGCTACCTTTTGCAGATCTTGCATATGGCCAAAGCTTCGCATCTTCCACCTCAAGACAAATATGCGGCTTGGTCAAGATCCCGCCTCTGATGAATTTGCAAAGTGGCTCTTTGAGATTGGAGCTGGCAAGGGCACAGATAGAAATGGAACCATGACCCTCCCAATTCAAATGCGATGCACCAACAATGATGTCCAGTCTCTTATCAATGCCCTATACTCTCCAGTTCTGCTCCCTGGGCATCCTCCCCCAGATGATAGCTTCTTCCTGGAACGGACCATCCTCTCTGCAAAGAATACAGATGTGGATGAAATCAATACGACCATTCTTGAATCCTTCCCCGGAGATAAAGCAGTCTTTACCAGCGCAGACTCAGTTGCTGAGAGGGACTACGACTATATTCCCATAGAGTTCCTTCACACTCTCACCCCATCAGGCTTCCCTTTGCACAAATTGGAGGTCAAAGCAGGTGTCCCTCTCATGCTCTTGCACAATTTGAACCCCACTGAAGGCCTCTATAATGGAACTTGCATGATCCTCCTGTTTTGGACCATGCACGTTCTCAGGTGTCACATTCTTGGAGATGGAGTTGATGCAGCCCACCAAGAGAATCAGAACACAGTCCTCATCCCTCGCATGACCCTGGATGCCACTTCCGAAGACAACCCAATCCCTCTCAAGTGTCGCCAATTCCCTGTTTGTCTTGCATTTGCCATGACAATCAACAAGGCGCAAGGTCAAAGTGTCAAGTGGGTTGGCCTTAATTTGCAGACTCCTGTCTTCAGTCATGGACAGCTCTATGTGGCTTTGTCTCGATGCACTCACCCAGAGAGAGTGTATGCAATATTTCCAGAGCATGAAGAAGGTTCAAACACAACCAATGTAGTATATACAGAAGTGCTTAGAGGACTCACAGATCATATCAATGATTGGTGTACTTTTATATATATAGAACTGACTGATCTTATGTACTATGTACTTTTATGTGGTGTGGTAGATTGTACTTTTAGTTTTTTGAAATGCTGCTCATAAATTTACCTCTTTTTTTCAAAATCCACTATCAATGCATGATCTTATTCAAAATGCACTATTTATTAGGATGAAGCTGAGGCCAGGAAGCAAAAAAAAAAGAGCACGAAGCACTCTTTTTTTGCTTCCTGTGCCGAAGGCAGAATGGGTGTGGACTCATCTTAAGAAGAAAGGGAGAATGGTTTCGGGAATGCTCGGGCGCTCGCATGGTTTGTGCTTGCACCGTGTAGGGCCATGTGGTTTTCGCCTAGATACACTTAGATGCGCTTAAGGCCACATGGTTTTCACTTACCTTGCTTAAACCTTTTTTTGGAAACTCGCATGGCTTTGTCACGTGTTTTTGAGCGTCGACTGAATCGCCACTGCCTGCGCACTACTCAACACAAGTATTTTCCCTATTGTAATTGTTTATGGTACATACATACAGTGAATAACAAAAATGAAAATGGTCACCGCTCGCACTCAACCATGGTGCATTGTTCTCTCACTCGTCTACTTACTCTACCCTTTCTTATATACCTACTGTACCTCTTTCTTATATCACCACCCACACAATCACTCACAAATGTCTACTTACTCTCGATCGAATTCTTTTTTATCACCTACACAATCGCCCATACACAAATGTCTACTTACTCTTTCTATATATTTCACTCATCCTCGTCTTTGATATCCACGTCCACATTCTTGTCCCCATCGTTTTTGTTTTTGTTTTTGTTTTTGTTTTTGTTTTTGTTTTCCTCCTCCTCCTCCTCCTCCTCCTCTCCATCTCTGTCCTCACCATCACCATACTCACCATCACCATACAGTGTCACCCACCTTCGGATTTTTGATGTGGCGCACTTCACAGTGGCAACCCACATGGCCTTGGTAATGTTTTCTGCCTGCTTGAAGGTGCTCATGTGTTTGTACATGTCTTGGATCATGCCCGGCTGGAAGCCTGAGCAGTTCACAAGTCTCACCACTTTCTCTTCGAAGCCAAACTGTGTGAACTGTGCAATATCCACAGTGTGGATTTGAGGGTCTATGTGAGGAATCCTGGTTTTGGCCTCCAAGCTGCTGTTGGTTGTGACAGCTTTATCGGTATTTTTGATCTTGCTTGTCTAGCCAGCGCCAGCACCCATTTTCGAGGAAGTATGCAAGTGTGGGGTTATTGAGTATATTACTGTGTACTAGCTCTCATTAGCTTGAATTTGCTTCCCTGAATGAACAATAGCTAGGAAAATTAAATGTTCTCAACCCACCAATTAGAAAATGAAATCAAATGGCAATTTAGTGTGGCAGTTAACACAAAATTGAATATTGGCAGCATGGTGGTTGAAGTAGTTAAGGTAAAAGAATCCTGACCCCTAAAACACGTTGTCATTCCATCCCCGCCACCCAAGTACACACAATTTGATCATTGCACTCATGTCGGTCTTCGAACTGAAAACAATCCTTACTCTTCTCAAGAACTCGACAGCCGTCTCTCCTCTCAAGAAAAATACCTTCGAGAAGAATTGGAGGGTTAGTGTGAGTTTATTCTCTTGAACGGCTTGAAGCATGCGCACTTGGTACCTCCTTCAACTAACCAAAAAAAAGGTAGATATACGTGTCAGCACATGGAATGAGGCACGCAGCCATATGAACAACTCACGTCTGCAGTTTCAGCTACAGTGGGAGTCTGAGATTGTCGAGTACATCCAGTTCCTGTGGGAGAAGATGAGAAGACAGTCAAAGAAAGGCGAGACCAACAAGCTGGGAGTCAACATACTGTTGCTTGAGCCTCGGTTTATACCTCCATCCTACCTGCACATCCAGAAGCGGTCAGGTGGTGGAGCCGTTGATCTGACAATACAGTACCTCAAGCCACTCAATATTGTGCACCCACTCTACTACCCACAGCTTGCATGGTGTCCGAGATGTGGGTCTGACAAGGACACGACTTGGGAGGGATGAACGAGCAAAGGACCTCAAGAACTCCACAGTATACTCTATGAAGAGATGGCTCTCAGTGCACAACTGCGGTGCAACCGCTGCAAGGAGACATCAAAGTCAAAGCCGAAAACCAGAAACAGCACCACTCACCATTCGGACTTGGTGGACTCAAGCATCGAGGGCTATTGCTTCACGATGACCAGTGCCATGTATTGGAAGTCCTGGGAGCACTGGAGAATACTGCGTGAGTCTTGTGCACCAGCAGAAGACCTTTGTCAGTTGATCTGACGTATTCAGACCTTGGCAGGGGGCATACCGATCTTTTTCTACCAATGTGCATTGACACGGGACTTGTTCAACCTGCTCGTCGAGTTACAGCCATCTTTGACATCTGCAGGTCTCGAAGAACGCATCCAACATAAGTATCGTGCTATGTCATTGATGCAGCAGCTCAACACACTTATAGAGCTGCATCTATTTGAATATAAGCGCCAAATGCTGGAATATCTTGAAGCAGTCAGCACTTATGAATCTTCAAACAGCTCAGACTCACACATGCTTGGACTCGGACATTACTTTAACCATGGCGCTGCTGGTGGCATGACCACAGGATCTGGGCTTCAAGCATTCTCAGAACCAGATGACCAGCTCGGCTACGATAACAAGTCAATCTCAAATGAAATAATAACCAAGGTCTTCATTGATTTTTCGACTTGCACCAGGCAGAATGAGAGCACACTGTATTTGAAGTCACTATCTGGTAAGTACAAGACCAAATACACAAATAGACTTATGCACTCACTGTTTGTTTGTCAGCAATATGTGGTTCTCTCAACAACACTTTCAAAGCATCAAACAAGGCCACACTTACAAACAAGGACGGGCAAAAGACAAGGGAGATCAAGGGCGGGATACTCACTGTGTTGAATGAAAGCAACAATATCATTGCTTGGGTGAGTACTTCCATCTGACTTTGAAAAAGTTGACGCTGATATGCCCTGTTTGTAAGTGTTTCTGTCAGACACGCGCGAATGCCGAGATCACAGAGCTACTGCATGGCCTCAAGCGGCGCCATGATGTCCTCAACCTCCCACAACCAAAGATGATGGTCACCGACAACTGCTGCCACATACATGGCGCGGTGGCTTCTGCCATGCCTGAGACAGAGGCTGAGCTGGATGTCTGGCATTTTAGTGCAAGGTATGTAACTTCAGCATGAGCTATACTACTCTTGCTAACAGGAACCCTCACCAAACGAAGATATGTTGCTGCAATCTTGAACACCAGCAAGAGCCCATTCTGTAGTGCCATCGCTGCCAATATTTTGGGTGCGATCCTCAAGAAACACGCAGAACATGGTCGTTGTAGAGATACAACAATTGCTGGGCACTACACAAAGTAAGTAGCCAGCAATATAAAAATTTGTTGTGGTCATGCACAGCCTAGTCTGCTATACTTGCAAGACAAGTGTGTTCGACCTGAGGGGCTTGCTGTATGGTATTAGAATAATCAGTTATATGAAAACAAAGATAGTCCGAAGCGTGGGAAACAAAGTCCGAAGGTATAATTATGAGTCTGAAGTCAAAAACGTTGGGTCCGATGTTTTCGGGTTTCGGGTTAGCGGGTTTTGTTGGGTTAGCGTCAGGAATATAGCAAATGTCGGGGATAGCGAATGGCGGGTTACTGTCAGATGTTTCAGATAAAGAAAGGATGATATTTGCGGAATTCAACTAAGAACTACTGAATATCAGATGACCTCCTCCTACTCGGAGGTAGAAAGGTAAAGTAAATAGGTAGGAGGTATGCGAAATATATAGTGTCTATGTAGAATTTCAGAGTGCTACAGGCGAAAGTAGTAGCGCTGATTTTCGGGTCCGATGTCCTATGTAATAAGACACGATGTACTGTGGACATGTAATAACGTGTTCTACAATGTTAGCAATGTGAAAACAAGTAACTGAGCACCTAGTGGGGATAAATATGACAGGACAAGACATAGAGAGGACAAGTGCGCGGGAAAACACACTACAGGGCCCGCAATATTTAAGACAGGTCTGAATGTCGTGTGAAATGTCAAGGCAATACTTAGTATTTAGCTTGTCGTGTAAGCAGATATAAAATTTCAAATGTTAAAGAGATTTTGCATGACAAGAAAAACATAAAGCATTAGCGAACATTTTGTTGCCGGCTGAATGTCATCGACAATAAGAAATATAAATATATCTTTAATGCTGGCCTATACTTCGAAATGAAACTTCACGTTTAAGACTTCAAAAAACTTTAACCATTGCATGTGACCAAATGCCTGCTCATAATACGAAGTTTGGACCACCACTTAGACGGGCGTTAAAATTTAAAATACCTCTTGACAATAAAACGTGTACATAAAACATCAAGTTTTGGCTCCAGATAAAATTAATCGCCCAACGATCGCCCACTCATCACCCACTTATGAGTACATGAGTAGATTTTCTGTCCGTTTGAAGAAAACTTGTATTATTATTTTTGCATCAGATTGAGTCCTTTGGGGTCGCAGACCCCATATTGGACATGTTTCATCATATGCTTTCCCCCATATCCATGTATTCTAATAGTACATACATATTGAGTCCTTTGGGCCGCTTTCCCCGTGTCCATGTATTCTAATAGTACAGTAAAGTAAAGTAATGACACAAAATGATCTAAGTGTCTGTGAATGCTAAGAGGATATCAGAGACGCACATTAAACGACAAAAAAGATAGCTTACCACTTGCTTTGGTAGTGAGAAAGTCAGAACATGCTGCGTCAAGATTCTTCTTGAACTTTTTTGTCGCTCCATTGAATTTCAGTCCATGTTTCCAATGCGTGTTGTTCACTGGACCATTGTTGTCGGATGAATTGCGGCGACGAGAAACACCTTGTCGGATGTTTTCAAGGCGTGTCTGGAACCAGCTTTCGCATCGAGCAGACCAGAACCCCACATCCAACCCTGACCCAGCCCAGGCCTGAGGCCTAGGCCACCAAGACAACTTCTCTATGCATCCGTTATCTAATGATTCAAATATGAGCGCACTGCGGGTCAATGTGAATAGGGAAACTTACTTGTGTATACATAATACGTCCCACAAATGAAATCGACCTCCTCTTCCAATAACTCGTCGTCAAAGTGAGTCTCGCCATTGATGGTGAGCGATTGTCCAAATGGGACAGCATCCCGTGAAATGCCAGTCAGGGCCGAGGGGAGATTATCGAAGCCAAGGCTATGTAATGCTAGCCGCCATAAGATTCCACCGTGAAGCAGAGCAGCTCGTGCACAATCTTCATTCATGAACTCGTGATGGTACTGCTCATATGTGATATAATCAGCATAAACGGCCTTGAAGGGGGGCCGGAAGTATCCGAGCGAGAATGTACGAAGTTTGCTGAGCGGGCGCCTAGCCTCAGGAGAAACTGCCATGGGCTGCAGTGTCTTGAATGCAATGCCTTTTTGCAGGAGCTTGAGGGCAATGGTCGAGATGTCGGACCCCCAGTCACGACGGAGGCACATCACAGCTGTAGCAGCGTCAGGAACCACAAGTTTCCACGGGACGAGACTTCTTGATTGACTTGGCTGGATTACGTAGAGTCGCTCCTGGCCGGGGATGTCGAGATGAGAAACTCGAATGAATGCATTCGACGTCGACAAAGAAGTCCCAGGTGCCAGGTCCCAGTGATCGGCTGGGATCTCAGACAACTGCGATGTGGGGAGAGTGACAAGATAACCCACGAAGCATGTAATAACGTGCTTTTGCACGTCTGAAATCGAGTCGACATCCTTGCCTGAATCCCCGACAATGTTACAAACGTGGTTGAACTTCTGCTTCTCGACCCAACTTTCAAAAGTGGCAGATACAGCATTGGATCTGGTGGTCCCACCATTGGATCTGGTGGTTCCACCATTGGATCTGATGGCTCCACCATTGGTGCTGGCACTGTCATTCTGCGCACCACTGGAGGTTCCACCAC